AATACCCTAGATTACATTCTCACGATAGAATGTAAATTATAAAAGGCTTCTAATTCTACATGTTTTCTCCACCTATGTTGTTATGTTTTTGATTATAAGCATTCTACTGGAAACAAGTGGTATTTCACCATGTTTTTTGATTTGCATGTACCTTATGGACATGATGCTGAGTATCTTTCTGTTTCCTTATTGGACATTTGCATATCTTTTGTGGAGAAATGTCGAGTCCAACTATGCCTATGTTTATTCATGTTTTTTTTTTAATTGTATTTTTCTTAGAATTCTAATGTATTAAGTTTCTTGAAAATGTCTCATTTTACCTCTCAACTTAATAGTGAAAATATTTTATTATGCATCTTGGAAAAACCTGGAAAATCCAGGAACTTGGTTCAAAACACATGGTAAACTTTTTTGTCTAGGCTCTAATAATGATTCGCCTTTTGTGCCTTAGTAAAACAATAAGTGTCTTTTCAGTTTCCTTAATATGCATCCATGAAGGACAGCCAATTAGGGCATGGATTATCAGTGCCTTAATGTCCAGGATAGTGTCAAGTATGTCTGAGATAAAAACTGGAGCTTAAGATTTCTAAAAAATGAGCCTGTTAAGGACTAGGACATATTTTTAAATTGTATAAGAACTTGAAGGATGTATTATTTTTCTAGGACAAGATCATCGAAAGGGGGCCCTTAGAAATGTAATCAAATAGGAACTCCCACAAGCTTACTCCCTTAGGTCATATACCTTAAAGAACCAGGCAAGCCTGAGGATCTGCACTCCAATTCAGACGGTAAAGTCTCTCCTTTTTACCTAATACCTTAGTCTTAGGGAGCAGAAGGACTGCTATCTCATTGCTTAAACACTTTATATACATTGAAAACAACTATGGAATATTTAATTTAGAATCAGAATATAAAGTTTTGATATTAATTCTCTTGTGTATTTAAATATCCTGGTGGCCAGAATTTTCATATAGTATTATTCTTAAATAATTAATTTATAAATGGGACATCTTATTGCTTTTTGTGTTTTTTCATTAAGAAATTTAAAATCCTAATTTTCTTTGAATTCATTTCATCAAAAAGGAATATTTTATTTAAAAATAGTTGAACTTAAATATAACAAGTTATTTATTTCGTTGCAGAAAATAATATAGCAAATCATAGGATATTTTGATATAATTTAGTTACAGTAGGTATTGTTACTGTCTAATATACAGACATTTTATTCATTTCCTGGATATCCCTTTTGTAGGAGGGTGGTTTTCACTTAAAGAACAAACTAAGCAAAAACTTGCTTAGCAAACAAAGCTTGACAAGATTTCAGGCCTTGTCTCTAGAGTAATGGATTTGTGTTTTATTCAGTAAAGCCCTAAGGACTGAAAGTGTAGTCAAAAGAATCAATCTCAGGCTTTTGTGGTAACCCTGAAAAATATTATTATTAAAATGGAAAATTATTCTTACAAAAGTAATGAAATATTTAAGACAAATTTTAGACATAGCTGAAATCTTCACCAATACAGTGAAACATTGCTTTTAAAATAATGTTCAGTTAAAGAAATAAAAACATCAAAAGGCAGGAAGTTACAATGGTATGTTTCTTATTGTAACTAACTTTACCATAGTATACATACTATACCAATTAAAGTTGACTTTGTGTTCAAGTGCTATGGAACACATTGAGAAATAAAGAGAGGGAAGTTTTGGAAAACGACTTTTGCATAATTCTTAAAAAGTTATTCTTGTTTCCTTCCTAATTATATATAAAGGATATTTTTTACAAGGTTTCAGAAGGCAGTTACCTCTAAATGTGTTTTACTATTACTTTATGGAAAAGCAACTCCTACATTCCCATGTACCCTTTTTGGGAGTGAGATAGAGCTCTAATTCTCCTTAATGTGGATGACTCTGAGAGATCTCTTCATCCCAGTTTATCTCACTGGGCATTTGACTCTAGCTATTTTGTGTAGCTATCTTATCACAATTTCTAATTTTAAAAACATCTGTGCCTTCCTTCCCAAGCTTTTTACTACCCAGTTGCTCACTGTTATCCTGAGGTAAAGTTTATGTCTTCACGTGTCCTCAGCTTTATTCTTAACATCACTGCTCTGACAATTTTGTACTTACTTTTATTTAGTAAATGGATACTTTCCTCAGAGAATAAGTAAAAAGTGGCTTGTTACAAATTATTATTAACTGAAATGAGATGGTATATTACTCCAAAGGAAAATATGTTAAGACATTTGTGTCCATATAAAAGACCACATTTTTCTGTGGTCATTTTTCATTGCCTCTATCCATTTAATGATTTTGGCATTATCAGTCCCAAAATTCATAGTGAAATGGAGAATACCTATTTAATATCTCTTTTTAAGGTGTACTGCGATATTATTTAGTAGTTTTTTTAAAAAATTACTTTAAATTAGTAAAAGTATATAATAAAGGATAATAGTGTCCTACTGAAAACTAATTTTTAGAGTTGCTAAAGCCCTTGAGACCCATTAAGTAAAAGCCAAACTTCGGCTGATTCTGCAGTTCAGTCTGGGAGACTAGCTTTAGCATATGACTGAGTGTCAGTAGTCCTGGGTTCTAAATCCAGTTTTAACCTAGACAAATTGTATTATTTGAAGAATTCAGGTTACTTTTGCTTCAAATCTGCTTTCCCATCTGTTAAAAGGGTAACAGAATTTAATGTATGTTGAAAGTGGAGTGATAGAATTTTAAATGTCTCTACATTCGGTATCATATATGTTCTAGAAATCATGTAAGTTGAGCAAGAATTGCAATTTACTACAATTAGAATGCTAAAGGATGCCACTAGTAAGCACTGCTCTGCTGCCTGCTAATTCTGGAATTTTTACTTGGCAATTGGCAAACCTTGTTGCTAGCATGGTCATCCACCACCCGGCTATTTCATATCCTCTCTCTGTAACAAGTAGGTAAATGCACACATAATGTCTTCAAAGACTTGTCAGCAAACATCTGT